AACTCAGTCTCGCGTTGAAAGAAGTTCCACATCTTGTTACCGTGTGGTTCATAGCCAGATTGATTTTCTCCACTGCACGGTGTTTCGTTTGGCACATCTGGCTGGCCAAAATTAATACCTCGAAAACTTCAGGATATATTTTAATGAAATTTTGCACACACCTTCTGTCGAAGTACTTAAATATGTATTTTAAAAATGTGTGTATCTGTACAAGAAAACCATCAAATTTTGAAATGACATACGTAATAAAACATGTAATTGAATTAATGTTTTTAACTAACTTAAAAAATGACAAATAATTAACAGAATATTACATTATGCAATTTTATAACTTTCTAGAATGTTATTTGATGATATAATTTATATATATATATATATATATATATATATATGTATATATATATATATATATATACTATTACAATTTGTAAAAAAATGTGATTTGGACTCCAATATTATACTCTTTTGGCTTCGAACTAACAAGTAATATTGAAATTAGTTCGAATCAATAAAGATGGAGTAGCTAAAAGTTTTTGAACTTCCTCTGATAAATTTTTACACTTTTCATTTGGGGCCTTTACTCAGGCTGGAAGTATATGGATCAGAGGATATTAACGACCTATGGGGAAGGTCTATATTAGTAGTTTCCTTGCGGAAAACACTCGCAAATTGCGTGCATCTTTATTTCAGGCTTCTTTAGCCTCTTCAGAGAGCTGACCTTTTGGCAAAATACAAAATTTAATTATTTCTTCATGCACCAGGACCTTATGCACGTTGTGGCGTGGCGTGGCCCTTCGTGACCTTTGCAAACTCACCAAATAAGTTGCAATTGATAAACACACGACAATGTCTCCAAAATCACACAATCTCTTAATTAATTGCTCATTGATTCCGGTTATTTGTGCTGGCAACAAGCTTTCCCTAAAATCTACGTGCGGTATTACCATAATTTGTATTGCCACTACTCTGCTAGGGCATAGAGACAAGTAACCTCATTTCTCTTTTGAGTATCTCCTGAATTTCTTTCTCACGTGATTCAACTTTTACCTTTTCTTTTTTTGCGAAATTACCATTTCTTGGCTTCGAGACTGTAGGAAATGTGAAGCAAACACTCAAAGAAACGGATTCGAGCATGAAATGGAGACAAACCTAACTGAAGAGTTGATCTGTCTCTTTCTTCTACGGTCAAATTAATTTATTTTGGTGAGGCCCGGCATATGTAACATTTATTTAGAAGAACGGTATGATTATATTTCATTTTAGACTTTGCCATCAACCATTGTCAGAAGTAGGTTTTGCGCGACAGATATACCATGTTCAAGCTACCTGTGTAAGCAAAAGGGAATTAATTTGGTTGGTGACGTTCTTCACTCCTTTTTCAATGACAGCTGTAGTTTCCTTAATGAGTTTAACAGATCTGCAGTAACGTGAGGATCAAGGTCTGAGGTGTTGGCAAACAATGACCTTTCTTTCATTGTTCAGGGTTTCGGCATAGAGTTGAAATGGTACCACCGATACCCTAAACAATCATCACTATGAAGCGGGTATGCAATTTTTTGCTTGTATCGACTCTAACCACTACTTCCATCACATCCCCACATAGAAATTAAAATAAAATTTAATTTCTACCCTGATAATTGCTGGATAACTTCGTTCTGCGCAGTACATATACGATTCACAGTGTGATCAAGAAGACAATGTAAAAGTATTTCTGCGGAAGGTTCTGTGATAGTGATACTATTTTCAGAAGGAAAACAGTTGATTTGGGTTTTTCTTACTGCATAATAAGAAAGATAAATAATACAGCCATAATCTTACGCATTTGCACGCACTTCCTTGTATTGGATCACAGATGTCTATCATTAGTGACAATGCTTCGTCTGAAGCCATTTGTCGAGGCTTTCTGTGATGAAATCGAGCATTCTTCATTTTTTTGGCCCCGTTAGGAAAGGCGGTACTTAATTCATCAACGATTTCTGCTGCATCTATCTTGCACTTACATTCATTTCCATGGCTAAGTATATTCCGTCTACACGTGTTCTCTCGGCTAGGTATATAGCTTTTCTATCTTGGGTCGCTCACTGCTTTCCCTAAAACATTTGTTCGGGCGATCTACACTACCTGACAATACTTCCGCTTGGAATGGCTTTATACATAATTTCCTTAACCAGTTGTTCCATCTAACGACTTTGCATTCGACTTCATGAACGACCCTTGATTGCAGAAGCACTTTGTCCAACTTTCACTTATTTTAGAGCACATGATGCTGTGTGTGTTTTATAGATTGTGTTACGTCTGTTCAACTCCTGTAGATCTAAACGCACCATTATATTCTTGTAAACCACATGTATGTCCGTGCGCCAACCAGTTTCGAGCTATACGAAGACCGCGAGCCTAGTGAGCGAGAGTACAGGCACTGAAAAGAGGTTATAATTATAAGACATGCATTTCTCTGTTAAAGAAACGCCAAGTATCAGATATGCACTTCACTGCTGAAACTATAATATTATAAAGAAATATTTTAGGATGTATGCATATTAGTTTCAAGATCGAGAAATGCGGGACCGAGAAATTATTTTCAACTAGAGAAACCAGTAAGACGTCCTGCCCTCCATCTCTCTTTTTCTCCATCCGTCTCTCTTTCTCTCTCAGTCTCTCTCACTGTCCCTGTCGCTCTGTCTCCGACTCTCCGTGTCTCTCTATTTCTCTCTCTTCGTCTATCTCCCTCTGGTTCCCTCTGTACGTGTCTCTCCCGGGCTTTATTTCAAAATCGGAGGGGCACTCTTAATACTTCAGAGTGCTGCGAGTTGCGTTGATTGCCGTTACGTAGAGAGCCTGAACATGAGCGCTTGGATTAGCATAAAATCATTAACTAATGTGCATAGGAATATGCACATTCCCATCGTACTATGCATATATTCTTCCCATAAGTACAAGCAATAAATTAACGAATTTTTATCGCAATCGGATGAACGGTACAGCAGCGCATTAAGAATGAACTAACAAAAAAACATTGTTTTTTGTGTATTAGACATCCTAAACCACGCACATGTTTTAAAGTCGAACTTGGTGTAAGAATTTCTAAATATACTTGTCTTTGAAAATTACGAAACAATTACATATACACTATGAATGGGACCAAATTGCAGGCACTTGCCAACAGAATTGTATGGTTCTGCGCCGGCTATACGTGAGACGTAACTTGACACTTCCCCTGAGACCGACACTTATGACTCAGCGCCATATAAACACTAGAGCCATGTTTCTTGGATGTTGACGTGTTTCATTGGGAATACATGAACCTTCAAGAGAGCATTCGTTTTAACGGATATTACATGGGTGTAAATGTTCGTTATGTGGATAGTTTGATCGAAGAACACTGTCGACTGTCACGTTTATTTAAATCTAGGGTAGGCCTCATATCTGGGTTCCCTTCTCACAATATCATGAAAACTTCTACATTTGAGACATCCCTAATTCATCCCGTGTCCATCTCTGATGATCGCTTCGAGCTACTATCGACTCTGACATGATACTGAATCTGAGATGGGATAGCCCGATGTCAACAAGGTGACTTTAACTAGATTTCTTAGCAGGTATGTGACATTGGAAGAACACGGTATGTTAAGATTCATTATATTTCTCGTTCTATCCATTTGGTTCATTGGTGTTATTGAAGTTTCGCAGGAAGCACGCTCGAGTTCACAGATCACACTTAATCAATGGATCATTTCCTGCCATCCGTTACTGGTGAGTGATCATGGGACATTTTGCGCACGTCCCAGCAAGGATTCCTCCGATCATCAGTCGGCATTACTAAACTCTACGGAATTTTTAATGACTGCTGAAGGCTGCTGTTGTGTGTTCGAGGTGTCTCTTCCGCCACCTTCATCAATCCGTCGTCGTCTTCTTCGCCGTCGTCGTCGTCTTCTTCTTCTTCTTCTTCTTCTTCTTCGCCGTCGTCGTCGTCTTCGCCGTCGTCGTCGTCTTCTTCGCCGTCGTCGTCGTCTTCTTCGCCGTCGTCGTCGTCTTCTTCGCCGTCGTCTTCTTCTTCGCCGTCGTCTTCTTCTTCGTGGCCGTTTTGGCTCTCTGGGGTATTCTTCTATTTTCCCCTTAAACCTTTTCAGCATGGGAGGCCCTACCAGTAGCTGGGCTACCGCTGACATAGCTCACAGGTGTATGGGGATACTCAAGCTTTACCACAAACTACACGGTCGTGTACTTAGGTGGTTATTATATTATTATTATATTCTTATACATAAGGTCTTTAAATTATTTCATGAAAATGAAATAATTGCCCCATTATGCAAATCGAGCCTAAATGACGCCTCTAACCACAATTCACAGCTAGCAATATCTCCATTCGTAACTACACAGCAATGAGATGACATACTATCCAATCGCTCGGTCGCTAGTACTGCGAAACGCGCGTAATTCAACAATGAACAAGGCATTCGAAAGGATATAAGACAAATAAGACATCATATACATAAGGATTGTTCTTATTCTTCCGCCATGTTTTGAATTTGCGGCGAAGTGCTGTTTACTAAATGTCTTTCCAACCCAATTATGAAGTGCTGAATCATTAAATTGTTTACGGAATAGGCGGAGATTTACCTTTCCTCGCACACCACAATCACAAAGTGAAAAACCATGCCTTAAGCCATTTGAACTCACTACCTCAGCGAAGAGGAGTTGCTGCTGAAGCTATTTTCACTCTGCAAGTACCAATTACATGGTCATAGCTTCAAATTAAATATTTTTAAAGTGGTATATTTGCAATTTTATGTGGTCTAAAGGCAAAATTCATTAATACTATTGGAAAAGTAGGTACCTACAATTCACAGTTCATCAAACTCAATGTTAGATATTAGTATCATACAGAAAAAATACCCAAAGAAATTATAGTTATATATTCAATTTAAACATTGACACAGTAATCAAGGATCTCTGTTTTTATAACAAAAGTAAACTTCAATAAAATATATTAGTTAACATACCTCAATAGCTGTAGGACGTTTTGATGAATCGTAACACAAAAATTGGCTAATAAGATCAACAATTTCAGAATCTGAATCAGGCAGAAGCTCAGGAAACGGGATGCCAGGACTCTCGGGGAAAACGATTTTGTTATAATCTGGCAGTGATGACAAGCCAGGCCAGGTTGTTTCAGTTGGAGTTCCAAGTGTGTACAAAACTAACGCAAGCTGTTCAATGTCATTTTCACCCTGAAATAAAACATAAATCGTCAATAAAAATATTCTATGTGACTACAAAATATCAACCGTACTAATAATATATACAATCTGTCGAAAAATATATATGGAATAATTTGTATCAAATTTAATAATCAATGGGCACGAAAGTTCCCAATTTCATGTTGGCACATTTTATAGGATAGCTTGCATATTCGTGTGTTAATATATTTTTGTTGTTGGCAATAACACTATATTTATTTAAGGCATAGGTTGACAATGTGTATTTTGCAATCGATCGGTTGCGGATAAATTTTAGTAGTAAAAGCCAGATTTTCGGCATTTTGAATTGGGATTATCACCGCAGAAGAAGAGAATATGACAGAAGATTAACATTTACTCTCGCAACGAATTAGGACGATCATAATTTATTTGTAGGGTGCACTGCATATGAACGGTATAGATTACGGTTTTTAATTTCTGATTAATAACACACAATTACCAAATTTTTTTGACAAGGCTTGTCGTTCAAATCAGTAATTTTCATGTAATTTTGTCTTCTTGTTACGAATAAGTAGACATTCTTATTACGAATAAGTACACAGATTTCATGTATCGTGCAAGGATTTTGCAGAATTTCTATTCATTTACCAAACCTATCTTATTTACTGTGAATTTTAGCAAAAAAAAGTGTAGAAACATATTAATGATAAACTGACTTCAGAAAATACGTTAGTTTATTCGTAAACTTATAAGATTATTTGACACACATCATTAACTCAACATACATATTGAAAACACAAGTGATTTCATTGGGCTGCTGAAGTTTGATCTTCGTGAATTGACTGAAGTGTTGCGATACTATACTTCAGAGACAAGCAATTGTCAGCTATTATCACAGTATTCCACTTTCCCCCATAACGCCTTTCTAGATATTTCCTCTCCTGATGGAGAAGCTCTCCTAATCTTCGCTCAAATCTTCCACAAAAACCTTTTCAAGAAAAAGTAAAGATGGCTATGACTCAAATGGAACTCATATTAGAACGTGAATTTTTCATCGCAATTAGGAAGGCCTCCTCAATTTTATTGAAATTTAAGCGTTTTGTTTCTCAAAAAAACAATCTCTTGAATTACGTTACTCACTCATCCATCATGAACCAAATCAGTATTTCCTCACAGGTCATCAATTTCTCAAATCGTTCGTATGTAATTTTATTCTTTATCTGTGGTGTATCTGTGGACACAGAGTCCTTCATTATGTTTAGCATAGGAGAGAAAGGAGAATGTCAACTTCAAACAGTCATCTCTGATGAACCCCCTAACAAACAGTTTCATCTCCAATTTAATATGAGAAATGGCAGAATCATCTTCCCTCGTTTCACCAAACATTTTTTTTCTTGCCTTTTGGATCGTAGTGTACTACTAGGGCATTGCGTATATTATTTCACATTTTTAGAGTCCATCTAAAATTTGACCTAATTTTTTAAAACATATGTTCCTCCAAAATCTATCTGTACAGACTACAATCGACTATGACACGTTGTTACACATCACCCATATATAGTTATAAATAGGGGGCGGATTTTAATGACCTAAAACAATGCCAAAAATGATCAATAAAATGCTCTTAAATTGTTTTTAAAATTCCCTAAAAACAAAGAAAAATGGCGTAAAAAATTGATCAAAATCGCTTCAGATGAACACGTCAAGCTGTTACTGATGTAATCGAGGCTCCTTCCTTTTAAGTGAACTCAGCTGGGAATCTTTTGGTTTGGACTATTCTTTAAAAGAAAATCTCTGCCTTTATTTATTGCGAAATCGGCCGAACTGACGGCGCTGACTGGCATCAAAGGGAACCTTGGATTACATATTACTCACAAAGGCTGAAATTACAATATATGAGCGAAGAAATCGAATAGGCTACTAAGCAATTCTGTGGTGAACATTTGTTGCACTTCGTAAATATTGTTTTCAGCAAGTAACATTAAAATTATATTAAAATCGATGAAATCAGCGCATTAAAAATGCATTTAAAAGGTAATAATGACTTATTAATCGAAATAGACGAAAAATGCAAAAATAAAACACATAAAAATGAGTCATTTCTCTTTGTCTTAACATAAAATAAATTTCTATACTAAACGGCATTGTTCTAAAGTGAAAAGAAAAAATGACATTTCATTAAAATCCGCCCCCTAGTCATAAAACATTAAAATCATAGTCCATGGCTTGCTACGCGCGACGACTACTTAGTGGTGGGAGGAAAATGTACAACTAAGGCTAACGACACAAGAGCGCTAAATTACGGACGACAATTTACCGGTCATTTACCGGACAATTACCGACAATTTACCGAGTTGCACGAACGGCGTACGTTTTTCCATTCATAAAATGAAAAAATTGAAGTTAATTGCACATTGAATTAATCAAGTGCACATGAAAATATTTCTTCTGGCACACCGCGCACTGGTATCTTGTTTAATACGATCGTGTAATTTCGATAGCAATTATCTGAGCGACGGCCTAGAGATTCGGAAATAATTAAAACATGTTTCACTGAGGTTGCATAAAATCTGAATAATGTAAAATGTTGTCTTAAACCCCTCGCTATTAATGAGATGATTCAAACCATTTCCTCCCGTTTTCTTTAACAAGTTTCATTCCTATGTAACACACAATCGATAACTCCGCGGGATGTTTGTTAGAACAAAACCTTAACCCATGAAACAGAAAAATGACGACAGTTGCGCAGCGGTGATCGCGCACGGTGACCCGGCAATCGACCGACGTCATCAACGTACGTTTTGCAAAGTATGTGTGTCGCTCGCTAAGTATACGCCTACTCATACGTTTATGCTCAGTTCATCTGGTAAAGTGGCGTAAGTGGTAGCATACAGCCGAAATAACGGCAGGTCCATGTTTGACTCCCGCTCAGGTAAGATTTTTGTCCTGTAAGGTATTAAGGTGAAAAGCAAATGAGCTGCACTGATTCAACGTCCTTATATGAAAATCATAGAGGTCAAACATATTTTCAGACATACACTTAGTTTTCAGAAGCGAACATAGCTGACATACCAAAATAAAATAAATTACTTTGATTTTAAAGTATAAATAGTTATTCAAGAATGGAACTAAAACATTCCAGTAATTCAATGTCCTTTCACATCTGTGAAATGTGTGCAATTTTTGGTCAGGTTCAGCTAGTTTCAATTGTGACGTCAGGATAGTGTAAATTCAGATAGACACTGCGCCTTTCTATTTAGAAGTTTATTTACACTTAAAAAACTGTACAATATTTACTCCTAAAGGAACTATCTATTCCGGCCGCCATCCGCAGCCTTAATCCCTGAAGCAAGCCGCCTCAGTCAACCGACTCCGTCGAGTACCCTAGCGTGCGCGCACCCGCGACCCTCCTGGCCTCCAAGTCCCGTGCCAAGGGTTACATCTCGCATAGCGGAAGCTTCCTTTTACACTCGCATTAGTGACAAAATTGTGCATTCGTATGGATAGCCCACTACACAACGCATCCCGCGGCGCAGCAGGCTCTGTTCGCAGGATTCCCCACGGAGGAACCATCAACCGCGGAGGTCAAGGTTAATGGTGGAGGATTTTAAACGGCGACATGATCCTCAAGTTTCACGGCGGGACTAACGTCCTTCGCTTCAAGGTGGAGGCTGTGAGTAGGTGGGTTGTCAAATATCTTAGGGCGGGATTGGGCGTAGGGTTCGTTGGCGAGAAGTCTCTGTACAGCAGGTCGGTGATCTCAGACCCACATATTAAAGTCCGGACGAGGAATATGAGCCCCTCTGTCAGGTTCCCTAGAATCCGGTGGTATTCGATAGTTTCACTGTGGAAGCAGTGAGGACAGGGGTTGGGGGCCCAGAGCCCCTAGACTTCGGCCCGGGGGCCCCTAGTTGGGCACTTGGCTTTGTCGTGGTAGTGGCCCGATACTCTGAGCGTAGAGGAGGGACTTATCCCGGTTCACTGTGAGTGGCGCATTGATTCGACTGTGATACTGACCTGGAAAGCTAGTAGCTCAGAACTAGCAGGGCGGCCAGATCCAAGGTTTGTACGGGAAGCATTCCTTGAGGCATAACTGCGTTCCGGCGGGATCCAGAAACCTGTCTAAATGTGTTCTTCCACTGGATACGGGTAAGGATAAAGTCCAAAAGCCTAGGTGCACATCCTGCGGACTAGGTGCATCCCGCATCCTGATAAACAAGTTATTAGGACGTGTGGTAGACGACGCAGAGCCCATGTTCGCTAAAAAATCGGTCACGAGACAGCGTGATTCCCCAGCCCTTTGGACCCGCTTGCCAGCCCACTATGGATGTGGGACACGTATCGCAAGGGTTTGATTAAACGTCAGCACGAGAAACCTGCCAGATTTAGCGAACGAAAGCTGATGTAGAGGTATGCCAAGGTAGAGAGATGTGGCAGATGAATTGTGTCGCGTATCTCCCTTACTTCGCCTGCAATCACCCAGCGGTCACCACGTATGATGTCATCGACTTGACGTTTCATAGAGAAATAACAGTCATCGAATCGCGTTTCCACTTTCCGTCAGCCGACTGTGTTTGCCCTTCTGCTTAAAGAAGAACCCATCGTCTAACAGTGCTGGCATCCACTGTTAGACTACACACTCTACACATCTTTCAGTCTTCGCTGAATGCGAGTGGTCATTTCACCTGCATTCAAGAATGTAATCACACAACGGGGACTCTTATAAATATTGATGTCGGCCATATTTCAAACGACTGCTGTGCTGCGACTAGTTGATGCAGAAAGTTATTATTGCGGTGGATTGTAGAAGATTTGAGGAATAATGCCAAATTACAATTTTTTACTTAACTAATTTTATTTAAGTAGAAAAGAGGAATGCATTACTTTCCGACTTCCCTTGTAGAACAGTGGAAATACCAACTCGGGACAAAGGGGTGTCGCGGTTTGCCAGTGAGCACTGCTAGACAGGCAGTGACTGCACAAAGCAAGGTGAATGAGTTGAAAGTGGTCGGGTCTTGGAAAATCGGTCT